TTTTTTTTTTTTTTTTTTTTGGTGAGAAAGAGTTGATTATTTATGGTAGCTGGGAGCTAGTTCGTAAATTTGAAAGCTTCAGTTTATTCAACGATGGTTTAGATTAGTTGAGATCACAAACATTTTAGTAAAAGGATTCTGGGCCATTTAAAAATTCCCAAACGTTTGGAAGAAGTTTAGTTGGATACAGCTCAAACAGAAACAAGGTATTAGAGCAAACATCGCTTTTTGGAAGATGCACTACCTGAAAGGAAGCTTTTGACTGGATTTTTAACAGCAAAAGAGTTTTCAGCTGCTTATGTGAACATGTGAGGAAGAATCGAAAGAGGTTGTAGTTCTTGATTTCTCTTTTTTTTTTTTCAATATTTAAGGATTATTAGGTTTGTTCGTATGTATGATATGTATGACTGAAAGGACGTTGCTGTCTGGATAAGTTCTGATGGTATTGGTTTAGGTTCTTTGCAGTTTTACATTTGTTTTGTATTCTTCCCAATGAACTATGCTGATGCATTATTTTTTCTTGCAAATCTGATTGATGCTTTGATATGCGAAGAAATTGACAACTTGCACGTAAATACAGGTTGTCCTCATGAGTTAATTTATCGGTTTTGGCTGGGTAATATCTGCATTAAAATTTTGTTCCAGGAAAAAAATGCAACCGTTTTTATGTAGCTTCTATTGCTAGTTGCACGTAAAAACATTTTGACATGCTATTCAATTTCTTTTCGATCATTGCCAATACGTATACACTTTATGCTCTACTAAATATCGTGCACGCTAGGTACAAGGTAGTAACATCAGTTGCATAGGTTTATATTTGTTTTCAGTGGTTAGACACTTTTTTCAAATCATAAATAAATTTCACAAAAAAAAAAAAATATTCTACTGAAATTTCTAAGTGTTAGACTTCCAAAAAGTGTACTTCTGAATACTCAATCAGTGGCACATTTCTCGAAGCTGTTGACTGTTACTATATGTTTTCCTTTTTTTTGAGGGGTGATGGTTTGTTGATGTTAATAATGGTATTTTGTGAGCATCTAAATTGTAAACGAAATCCATTAGTTTTGCCGAAAGGGAGGGGAGGGGGGAGGGGAGAGGACAATACGTCAAAACTGATGGGATGATTTGTGAGACAACTTACGTTCAGTTGCTCATTTACTTGTTCCTCAAGAGTTTATTTTTCTGGCGCGCTTATAGTATGAGTCAACTTTATCGTACTTGAAGGCACCAATGTAAAATTAAGTAGGCAGTGAGGGTTGCAGAACTGAAATAATTTAATCTTAAAACTCATAAATATTATTAAGAATACGTTCTTATGCTTACATTTCTGTATTTACAAAACCATCTTCGCTTTTTTTTTAAATTTTGCTGTTTTAAGTTTTTTGAATTTTATGATGCGATTTATATTCTGTAAAAATGCTTTTAGAAGATTTGATAAAAGAAATTAGAGATGGCAGATGGAAATGTGCTGAGGTCTTCTGTCATAATCAAGAAGAGTTCGCAGGATGAACCAGCTAATTTACTTTCAGAGGACGAGAAACGGGCTAAGTTGGCATTCTGGACTTTAAGACTCAAAGACATCATAAATGTTGTTGCACCAATGGTCGACCAAAGGTATCTTATTTAAAGCTCAGTTTTGTTTGTGACAGTTTGTCCAGTCCTCAATTGTCAGTTTTTTAAAAAATTGTTAGAGTAATAGATGTTTATTGGGTACTGAGGTCTAGCAGGTCGTAAATTGTTAGAGTTTATAAGCTGTTCGAGAGTTGTACTAATATTGCAGAACTGCTTGCTTTCCAGACAGCTCGTTAGGTACTGTTTTGAAGTTTCCGGTTTGCCATAAAGGATTTTAGTGGTTAGGTAAATGATCTTATGAAAATAGATGTCAGCTGTAAAACTTCAGCTAATTCATTTGGCTTTTCAATGTATTTGAACACTGTGGGACGTGTCAGACTGAGGAAGAAGTTACAAATTTTTGAAGCCCATTACCTTTTAATTAAGACGTTTTACGTGCCCTTCAACTCCTATTGATTCGCTTCGAGAAAGTTGATCTTTACGAAGCATAAGAAAAAATTTTGCAACAAAGGCGTTATTAGACTGTTCTTCGAATAGTTTAATAACGCTTCCAGTTCAATATTTAGGAACGTTTTGAGAACTACTTTTCTATTTTAAAATAAAAACCATAATATTTGTTATCCCACCTACAGCTTATCTGCAAATATTTTTATTTTGTTGGTTCTCCTGTTTTTGTTTAAAAAAGACAAAAAAGATGGTAGATTGCAAAACTGCAGGGACGAAACTTTGTTGTTTTCTTAGGAGCTGTACCAGCCGTTGTTCAGTTGCTCGGCCTGGGAGGGAAAGTAATTTCATTAATCCTTATTTCCAATTCGAGAGTTTTCTCGTTTTTGGTTTTCTAGCTCAGACGTTTCTCGCATTGATGTTATAGAGCTCATTTTCCAACCTGGTCGTCACACCCTCCATGAGCTTTAGCCTCTCCGTCTCTAAGGCATCTTCTTTCCCTCCATTTTCGCTTTTATCACAGGCATTTAATTGGTTTTATGCATAATGATGAGTCACTGGTGCTAAAATTGATTTTTTGCTAGTAGTCTTAAAAATTCACGAAGGTGGAATCATTATAAATACTCGATTATATTGATATTGTTATTGATAAAAACGGTGGTTTTTTGCTTGTCTTTGAAAACTTAATGAAGATAAAAGGTTCTCTTTCAGCAGAAGCTGCCTAATTTGACAGAGAGACCAAAATCTCGTGCAAATTATTCTTTTTGTTGTTCTAAAACTGGCAACTCACTCTCCTCATTTTGTCTCACTAATTTCTTGGGTTGAGTTGGGGCTGTGAATTTACGTGATCATTTGGGATTTGCTAGAGCTTTGCTTGGAAATAATGGGTTATTATTTTTTTAAGTGTAAAGTTGATCTTTTGTTTTGCTGTTGTGCTATTTTTTATAGAAAAACAGATTCTCCGAACCTCTTTTAAAAAACTTATTTAATAATGTTAACTTCTCTAATGTTTATTAGCTGATTTTATTCAGTGAGTTGGCTTTTCGTATGATGATGAGGAATCATGGTGCCCATCTCTGCTACTCACCTATGATCCACGCGCACTTATATGTATGCGATACTACTTACCGAAAGGCTGCACTGTTAACGTGTCAGAATGATAGGCCCTTGGTAATCCAGTTTTGTGCAAATGATCCCGATATTTTACTGAAAGCCTGTTGTCTCGTGGAAGACTTATGTGATGGAGTTGACTTAAATCTTGGTTGTCCCCAACTAATTGCTAAACGTGGCCATTATGGCTCTTATTTGCAGGTTTGTGCGATATGCTATATTATGTAAAAGATTCAAGCTTTATGTTTCGTAACTAGCGAGACAGTTTGTCTGTAGTGAGAGATGTAGATGTGAATTTTTATGTCTTGTCTGCTTTCGGATTCTGCCAACTTTTTGAAGCGAGTATTCTTTTAATTTAAGGTGACATGTTTGAAGTGTCGAAAAATCAAAGCTCTTTTTTAAGAAAAAATTTTACTTAGAAAGCATTGTAGCACATCTGCACTTACTGTTTCTAGCTGGTTTTTCAGGAAGACCAGGATCTTATTTGTCGTATGATCACAACGGTCCATGAACGATGTCGTCTGCCAATTTCATGTAAAATCAGAGTTCTAGACGACATCGGCAAAACAGTCGCATATGCCAGGTAAAAACTGCTCTTTTCTATTTGGCTTTTATGGGCATACTTTTGGCCTTCTCTGTCGTAGTTTTTCTGTACCATTTGCTGTGCTAATGTTACGGCGGCTTAAAGGTCGGCAGTTGTCAAAATTTTTTTATTTTTTCGTTTTTTATTACACACATGACATTTATATATATATATATATATATATATATAT